GATTTATGTTGTCAGGTGTCCACCAGGAGGCGCTGCAGCAGCCTGTAAATATCCACCTGCTGACCTTTGACCTGACCCGTTAACTCAGGAAAACCATCAGGTCAGACTGGGATCAAAACAAAATCAAGGATTGAATCAGCTTTATTGCATGAAGAAGCAGCTGCACTGTTACAGTCGGACCGGGTCTGGTTCTGGACTGGACCAGCAGAACCACTCAGGTCCACGACTCAGAAAAGGCACATTTAGATCCTGCTGCAGGTCCAGAGCTGAGTCCACCCTCCGGACCAGAGGCCGACTGGACCTTCCCTCTGAGGTGCCGACCCTCTGGAGCAGAACCGGAGCAGAACCGGAGCAGAACCGGAGCAGAACCGGAGCAGATGGTAGAACTCTGCTGACTCTAATCTATAAACTGGCTCACATTCAGATATAAAAAGAAGTAATCACAGGTCCAGTGCAGGGTCAGATCAAACACAAACATTCAGAATGACTTCATTACAATAATGCCACGTGATTGGTTGGCTAAACAAGGTGAAATGAATTCTGGGTATTTCAGGACGCAGCGTAGAGCTGCTGGTCCCAGACCAGACACAGGTTAAAGTCTTGTTGGTCCCAAGCAGAGCGTCTGGTCTAGAAACACGCTGTACGCTGGGCGGAGCCAAGGTGCCGCTGTCGCCTGGTGATGACATCACAGCGGCACGCCTGATGACATCAGTCGGTATCTGAGATGAAGATACGGTACACCAGCGTGACGATGGCAGCTACCAGGGCGGGAATCACCAGGTTAGACCACCAGCTGCAAGACAAGAGCCACAGAGGTCACTAACCTGCTAACCAGCTAAACCATTACCAAGCTAACCTGCTAACCAGCTAAACCATTACCAAGCTAACCTGCTAACCAACCTGCTAACCAGCTAAACCATTACCAAGCTAACCTGCTAACCAGCTAAACAATTACCAAGCTAACCTGCTAACCAGCTAAACAATTATTAAACCTGATAACCATCCTGCTAACTAGCTAAACA